ATGTCAGCTGTAATCCTAATGGGTTTTCCTTTATATGTGACTTGTTTCTCTTTTGCAGCTTTCAGTATTGTTTCTTTGTTTTGTATGTTTAGTGTTTTTACTATGATGTGCCGTGGAGAGTTTCTTTTCTGGTCCTGTCTGTTTGGTGTTCTATATGCTTCTTGTATTTGTATGGTCTTTAATTTTGGGAAATTTTCTTCCTCGATTCTGTTGAAGATTTGGTCCATGCCATTATCTTGGGATTCTTCTCCTTCCTGTATGCCTATGATTCATAAGTTTGGTCTTTTTATGGTGTCACACAATTCCTGCATATTCCATTCTTGTGATTTCTTAAATTTTTCATAATCTTTTCTTGAGTGGTCTATTTTGTTCACTTTGTCTTCCAGTCTTGATACTGTTTTCCATTTCACTCATCCTATTGGTGAAGCTTTCTCCTGTTGTTTCTAATTGGCTTACTGAGTGTTTCACTTTCTTCTTCATTTCAGCCGAGTATTCAATATTTCTGACTGTTTTCTGAATTCATTCAGAAGTTTACCCCTACCTCCCTTCAGTTGATTTCTTTTTTGTGTGTGTTCTTTAAGTTCACTGAATTCTTTTATCATGTTTATAATTTTTCTTTTGAGTTCCATGTCCTGCATTATCTCTAGGGGGCTCTCATTGTACTCCTCTAGAATGCTGTTGGTATTTGGTGGGGATATGTTATTTTGGTATGTCAATTTATTGTTTTTTCTCTGTGATTTTGACATGTGAATTTCCTTTGTAGTTTCTGATTCTTATGTGAGACTCAGGCCTTCAAGTTTAGGTCTGCTTCTTTTTGTGAACTTAACGTGTGTTTATGGTTTACTTTTTGGGCATGAAAAGCTGGTTCGTCTAAGCTTCCGGTTCTCTCTTTTGATTTAATATTGGAATGGCCGGATTGCTTTTGTCTATAGGAGTTCCCACAGAGGCCCAATTCAGGTGAGGGTCAGATGTTTTCAGGCTTTCTCCTAAGGTCTGGATCCCTCCAGGAATGATTTTGGGTTCTGGAATTTGGGGGTTGGACTGCCCTGGGAGCCTGGCCTAGGAAAGATTCTGGCCTAGGGAAGCTGGTGGCTGTGCCACTGAAGATGCAAAGGCAGATGGGGCGGGAAGAGGTCCCAAGGCCTCCTGGGGACTGCACTGAGGAGCTGGGTTTGTCTGAATGCAAAGGATCAAGAGGAAAGGTCAGCCCCAGGGTCCCAGAAAGAGGCTGGTGGATGGTGCAGGCCCAGGGAAGCAGAGGGAGTTGAGGGTGGGGCCAGGCCCAGAAGCAGAGCTCCTGGGGCCCAGAGAAGGCACTATGTTGGTCTGGATGAAAAGGATCAGGGAGCAGTATTGGTTCTCAGTGTCAGGGGCCCCAAGGCACAGAATGGGGCAGGGCCCAAATTCACAGGAGAGAAGGGTTACAGAGATGGAAGGGTGAATGAGGCTGGGGGAGTCAAGGCGTGGAGGGCACAATGGACTTACCCCGGAGAAAGGCCTGCGGGTAGGAGAGAGCTTATTTGTATTTTCGAGACAGAGTCTCCCTGTAGCCCCAGCTGGCCTAGAACTCACTATGTAGACTAGACTAGCCTGGAATTCACAGAGATCTGCCAGTCTCTGCCTTCCAAGTGCTGGGATTAGAGGCTTGCACCACCACCCCTCAGCTGGTAATTGTCAATTTTAATTGTCAGTTTGATTGGCTTGAGAATCACACAGGAAAATAGTAAAGAACTCCCCTCAGTTTCCAGAGAGGATTAAGTAAGAGTCTGGCACTGAATGTGGGCAGCACAACCCCACAGGCTAGGAGCCCAAGGGAATCAGGCATTTTCTCTCTCTGTATCCTGGCCACCATGATGTGAACTGCTCTGCTCCGCCAAACCCTCCCCACCAGGATGGAGTGAAACACTGAGTCAAAATAAATCTTTCTTCTTTTATAGTTGTTCTGTTACATATTTTGTCACAATGACAAAAGGTCTGATTAATACATTCAGATTCAGCTATTAACACATGTAGGTAACGATTAAGGTATGAAGACAACATACACAGACTTCCTATGACTTGTAGCTAACTGGTAACATAGAGTGGCCTTTCAACAAATAGAAGATTAAATAAACCAGACAACAGATGCAGAATTTACAAGTTGTTTACTAAACTGGTGATTTCCCTTAAAACAACAGTCTTAATGTTTTTTAAATATACAAATCATTTGCTATAGTCACTATTCTGTACAGTAGATGACTAAATGCTTATTCCTTTTGAAAGTTTGAACCCGTCGGTCAACATCTTCCTTCCCCTGTACTGTGTGTTGATAACCACCATTCTGTTCCAACATTTATGAGTTAGTTCACATTTTCTAGATTCCACATGTGAGACCATGTAGTGACTATAACTAGCTTATTTCACTTAACATGACATCCTCCATGTTCGTCCATGGTATCAAAAGTGACAGGATTTCCCCTCTTTTTAAAGGCTGAATAGTACTTCTATATGTGTACCATATTTTCTTTAACCATTCACCTAGTGACGGACACCCAGGTTGCTTTTGTATCTTAGCTACTGTGGATAATGCTGCTGTGAAAATGGTATACAGACATCTGCCTAACAGGCGTGGTGATACACGCCTTTAATCCCAGCACTTGGGAGGCAGAGGTGGATCTCTGAGATTGAGGCCAGCCTGGTCTACACAGTGAGTTCCAAGCCCTGTAGCTGGGGCTGCAGGGAGACCCCACTTCAAAAAAAAAAAAAAAACCCCAAACCCCAAACCAAACCAAAATGAAACAGAACAAACCAAAAAAACCCCTAAAACAACAAACACAACAAAACAAAACCCCAAATCCCCAAATCCAAACCTCAAACATGAACTTGCCTTCATCTGTAATGCTCTAAATTATCAAATGAGTGATCTGGTCACAGGCTTATTAAGACTGTTTATGTTCTCACTTCAGATATTTTTACTTGAACAAAGTAAAAGAATTTTCCAATAATTTAAATGCGAAACCATTTGGTTTCCTCTTCTATTTGGGATGCTATTTTGTCTAGTATAAAATGATAAAGAATTTTATACTAGAAACTCAAAGATTTTTTTTTTTTTTGGTCTTTTTGAGACAGGGTTGCCCTGTAGTCCCAGCTGTCCTGGAACTCACTATGTAGACCAGATTGGCCTTGAACTCACAGAGATCCACCTGCCTCTGCCTCCCAAGTGCTGGGATTAAAGGCATGGGCTACCACGCCTGGCTAAGAAAAGAAAATTTTTATTGTTATTTCAGAAATGTCATTAACAACTTCTTCCTGGGTGTGAGTAGGGGAATCTTCCAAAATAAATCCCTATTGAATCGGAGTGAGGGTAAACACTTTAGGCAGGAGGATAATTGTAAATTGAAAAGCATTTTCCTTTACATTAACTTTTTTTAAAATTTTATTTAAACGTACATACATGTGTATTTAACCAGAGTTTATGATAAATATAATAAAGGAGATTTAAGAATTTTCTCTTAAATGTTTTAGGATCTGGATATGTGAAGATACTATTTACTTCTGTGACTTGTCTAGTACTTGCTAGTCTTTTTTACACAAAATATGACAAATTCCATTTATTCTATGTATGAGTGATGGCCACAAACTGGTGATCTTCCTGCCTTAGCCTCCCATGTGCTGGGATTATAGGTGTGCTAATGTACCACCATGTCTGGGTCTATTCAACTTTTTAGAAAGTTCTAATTCAAACATGTATTGGTCTCTATTAAAGGATCTGCTCATATCTATTGTTAATAAGACATCTTAATATTAAGGTTATATTAAGCTAAATGAGCTTAATACAGAAAATACATATTATGATGGTCCTGATCACACAAGCAATATTATAGATTTGTAGAAAAATTTTATCTTGTAATAACTATTGGGATTATAAAGATGCTACTTTATCTCAGAAAAAAACATATGTTCTTTTTAAAGTTAAACTTTCTATTTTACAGGGCCACATATCTGCAGTACAAAGAAACAAGGTAACGGGAACACTGAATAGTTATAGGAAACACAGTTTACTGCTAGGAAGGCACTCTACTCCTGAGCTACATCCCAGCCCCTACTTGTCCTGATAATAACAGAACACTCACAGTGCTCAGTCACAAAGAGCCATACGGTAACTTCAGTGTAATTACTGTGGTTGCAGTAAAATTGGAGCATACTCATACACATTTTATCACAAAAGATCCAACTGGATGATGAACAATTTACCTAAAAAAGCCCAAACAAACTTCAGAGAATTTTCCTGACCATCTGAATTTTCCTGCCTCTTAAAAGCATCTTAAATTTTAGCAGTGAAGTTTTTTTTTTTTTCCGTGTAAGTCCATGAGCTCATTCACATGGTGTCCCATGCTGGCTGACTGCATGAACAATTCAATGATTTATATAAACAAACACTAAAGAAAAAAAAAGGGAAAAAACATTGGATTTGTTACTGAAAGGGTGGCAATTGGTTTCTATTTTGTAAGTTCACAGAAATCTGTAAGATACTTTCCTTAGGATACATATGTTTTCTTTCCCAGGAAATAATGAGACCAAATATTTGAGTGAGAACAAATTAGAAGTATAAGTCTTGGAGGAGAAAATCTGACATTTACCAACAGCTTTGGGGAGTTGAAACATGAACATTCAAATGATGCAATCCATGACATGGATCTGTAATGTGTCTATGTCAGGCAGGACTTCCCCACATTTAGGGCAAGAATGAATTGGAATACTTGGTTGCTGCTGCCTCCAGCTCATATCCTCAGCTCCTGGGAATAAGCAGGAAATGACATGCCATTAGTTCCATCTTGATAAGCTTAATTTTAGTAACTGATGGTTAATGTGAACATCTCTTAAACTTTTTAATCAGTATCCAGTAGGAAATAACATAGGCTTTTGTGTCATTAGTGGAAGTTATGTCCATGCACGCACAGAGAAATCTAGAAATAATATCTGCTTCCCTCTTACTCCAGAATTTAAAACACATCACAAGTTTAATCAAGATCTATGAGAACAGGGGCTGGAGAGATGGCTCAGTGATTAAGAGCACTGGCTGCTCTTGCAGAGGACCCAGGCTTGATTTCCAGTACCCACATGCTGGCTTACAACTGTCCCTAACTCCGTTCCAGGATATTCAATCCCTTCTTCTGGCCTCCGTAAGCATTGCATGCATGAGGTGCACCTATTTACATGGAGGCAAAACATTCATACACATAAAAAGGTGAGGGGGGGTGCCGAAGAGATGGCTCAGCGGTTAAGAGCACTGGCTGCCCTTGCAGAGGACCTGGGTCCTAGATCCCACATGGAGGATAACAACTGTCCCCAACTCCAGTGCCTAGGGAACCTAACACCCTCTTCTGACTTGCACAGGTATTGCATAACATGGGTGTACTAGATGAATCTGTGAGAGACTAAGAGATGGATGAGGATATAAACAAAAGAGGGAGCAATTAAATGAGCTTGGGAGAGCTTTTTTGGAAGGACATGGACTGTCTTAGAAACAGACAATAATTTCATTTTTTCAGCCGATCCTCATGAACCATCTTGGATGTACAGGGTACTGCACTGTGCTGGGATACTGATGAGTTGAGGAAGACAGGTGAAAAAGGCAGGTACAGTGTTAGGTCCCAGAGGTTCAGCAGGAATCAGGGCAGGGCCCCTGAATCTTCAGAAAGGCCTATTACGATTTAGGTATGATGTATCTCCCCAGAAGTCTTACGTACTGAATGTCCAACCCCAGGTGGTAGCACTATTTGAGGAAGTTGTGGAACATTTAGAGGGTAGAACCTATATAGAGTGTTGGGAGCCTGAGGCTCAGCATGTTGGTAGACTGAGTCTCAGCTGCCTCTCAAAACTGCTGACAGACCTAAGCTGGCAACTTTCCATTCTGCCCGCAGCCTTGGCCCAAAACCTTGGCTTGGCTTGCAGCCGGGGCTCACAACCTTGGCTCACAGCCGGGGCCAGTAGCCCATGGCCTTGCTCTAGTTTAGGTGAATAGCTCTGCTCTTGGTTAATCAATAGATTCCTCCCTTAGTGTACATCAGGACCCCTGTGTTCTGACTGATGTGATTACTCATTCCTTGCTCCCCTGTTCTCATTCTCTATTTAAACTCATGCTTGTGTCGGGGACCCCTGCTGTTTTAGGTCGCATTCTCTCCATGTCTGGATAGCCGCAGGCTGGCTCGGCGTTCTTATGCAGAGACTCCCTTTCTCAGCGGGGCGCCTCCTACTCTCTTCCTGACTCACTTTGAAGTGGCCGTCACAGATACATGTCCTCTGGCTCAGAAACTGCCAGGTTTTTCAGGCAATGTCTGACAGTCTGATAGAAGCCCACCACCACATGTAAATGGGGCATCCTACAAAGCACCTATCAACTAAGGCTTTTGCTACTGCCTCCACACTATAAATATCCTGGTTTCACCCCAATAAAGCGGAGCTGTATCACTTGTCTGAAGCTGTATCACTGAATTCTGTGTCTCACTGCGCCCGCCTGTGATACGTGATACAATCTCTCCGGAGGGGGCTGTCCCTTCGTAAACATTCACTCGCGAAGATCCTGCTTTCACCGTTCCTGCACCTCCCCTCGAGATGGTGGCCAACGGATCGCGAACACAGAGGGAGTGTCCGGCAGCTTGGAACAGAACTCGCCCGGCAGCTGACAGCGACCCCCAGAGTCGCCAGCATCTGGTAGCCGCGGAGAGCCAAGGATCCGAACAGCAATGCGGTATGCGAAACCCGCGCACCCCAGCGGCGCGCGAGAGACTGGTGCCACGCCAGCAGCTGGCGCTCCGAGATCCCTGCGCGCCCACATGCTTGTGCTTCAATAAATGAGACTTGATCAGAAACCTGTCTTGTCTCCATTTCTCTTGCCCCATCCCATATACATCCCCACTCCCCAACCCAGGTACCCCATTGCAGACCCCTTGGGCCGGGGCAATAAAGGAAACAGGTCATTGCAGCGGGGGAGTATCCTCACTCTGGCCTCTTCCTGTTTCTCTACTTCCTGTTCATTATGATGTGAACAGTCTCCTCCACCACATGCTTTACTGCCATGAGGGTGTGCTTAAGTACAAAATGTATTTGAAAAAGATCCTGATTCAACCAGATCCTGCATCAATACAAACTGCCACTGATGCTTCTGCCTCCTGGTGTCTCTACCCAATCTTTCTGGACCAATGAACACCATTTTGTCTTTTTAAGAGTCTTAGCCTAGACATTGGTTCAGTTCCCTAAACTTCATTTTTGGAGAATGACAAAGAAAATGATCTTTAACATTTATTTGCTTCAAAGTACACTACTTGAATTTAATGATATGGATGACTATTAGAGGTAGTTTATGTCCAGCAAATTTAAGAAGCATTTTCACAGATTTATTTACAATGCTTGGGATTAAACCAGGGCCTCAAGCATGCTAAGCAAATACTATACAACTGAAGGAGGAATCTTTTGTAGGGGTGTGTGTGTGTAGGTCAGAGGACGATGCTGGATATCTACCTCAATTGCTCTACACCTTATTTGTGTGTGTGGTATATGCATAAATGTGCATGTATATGCACTCACCTGTAAATGCACACGTAGAGGCCACAGGTTGACTTCTGGTATCTTCCTTTATGTCATTTCACCTTTTTTTTTTTTGAGACACTGATGCTTAAAATGCCCTAGGCTAATATTCATGTCAGGCCGTGTGCTTACTTGTTCTGCATCTTCTCTTTAAATATATGTTTATTTTTTTATTTTAAAATGTTTTTATTGTTTTAAATTAGTGTATATATATTTAAAATATTAGTTTTGTTATTCTTTATATATGTGTATGTATGTATGTATACCACAGGTGTTTGAGTACCTGCAGAGGCCAGAAGGGGGTATCAGATCCCCTGGAGCTGGAGTTACAGGCAGTTGTGAGCTGCTGATGTGAGTGATAGGAACTGAACTTGAGTCCTCTGGAAGTGCCCTTTACCACAGAGCCCTCTCTCCAGCCCGTTTGTAAGTATATATTAATTGTACAAAACATTGGGTTTCAATTAAGACATTTTCATACATGTATAGCACTTTTGTTTTGTTCTTGAGAAAAGGTCTTGTTCCTGTAGCCCAGGCTGGCCTGGAACTCTCTCTCAGTCATCCTGTCTCTGCCTCCCAAGTACTGGGATTATAGACATGAATCACCACACTTAGTTGTTACGCTTACTTTCAAATAATTTTCCCACAAAAGAACTTTGTTGGGTAAGGTAAAAGAGAAAGGAAGTATAAAACAACAGTCAGAGAAATTTCTCCAAGATTTAACAGTTTACTACGTATGCTAACATTGGTTCCTTGCTGTTGATAAAAGTTGTAGTACTAGCCAGGCATGGTGAAGCACAGCTTTAATCCCAGCACTCAGGAGGCAGAAGCAGGCAGATCTCTGTGACTTCAAGGCCAGCCTGGTCTATATAGCGAGTTCTAGGCCACCAGGGGCTACATGGACCCTGTCTCAATAAGACAACAACAACAACAACAACAACAACAACAAACAAAAACCCTGCAGTGCTATTCAATTAACCAGTGTGTGTTGGTTATTTTTAATATTGTTTTTGATTTCTGGAGACAGGGTCTTACTATGAAGCCTTCACTGGCCTGGAATTCAGAGATCCACCTGTCTCTGCCTCCTGAGTACTGGGATTAAAAGGCGTGCACCACCACGCCTTTTAAAATTTTTAAAAATATTTTATTATTTTTATTTTATTGTATGAGTGTGTTGCCTGCATGATGTTAAGTGCACCCATGTCATGCAATCCCCACCGAGGTCAGAAGAGGGCATCAGATTCCCTGGAACTGCAGTTACAGCTGGTTGTTAGCTGCTATGTGGGTGCTGGGAACCAAACCCAAGTCCTCTGGAAAAGCAGCCAGTGTTCTTAACCACTGAGCCAACTCTCCAGCCCTACTTTAATTTTTTTTCTAAGATTTATTTATTTATTTATATTTTATTTAATGTGATGAGTGTATTGCCTGCATGTATGTGAGTGCACCCGTGTTGTGCAGTGCCACAGAGGTCAGAAGAGGGCATCAGATTCCCCTGGAACTGGAGTCAAGGAGAGTTTGTAGCTGCCATGTGGGTGCTGGAAATCTATCCCAGTTCCTCTGCAAGAGTAGTCAGTGCTCTTAACTGCTGAGCCATCTCTTCAGCCCCTTAAGATTTATTTTGAATTATGTGTGGTGTGTATGTGTGTCTGTGTGTGTGTACTTGTGAGTGCAGGTGCCCATGGAGCCCAGAAGAGGATGTTCGATCCCCTGGAACTGGAGCTACAGGTGGGTGTGGGCTGCCTGATATTGGTACTAAGAACTGAACTCTGGTCCTCTGCAAGAGCAGTCCTCAGTCTTAACCAATGAGACATCTCTGTTCCTGATGGTTATCTCTAATTGTCAGTTTGACATAATCTAGAATCACATGGAAAGAGTCTCAATGAGGGACTGTGTAAATCCTGTTGGCCTGTGGGCATGTCTGTGAGAAACTGTCTTGATAATATTAATTGATATGGGAAGACCCAGCCTACTGTGTGTGAAACATTCCCAGGCCTTTGGTACTGAATTATGTAAGAACAGAGAAAACATTATTCTTATTTTATAAATAAATTCTCTATTCTTATTTTATAAATAAAATCTGTGAGTCAAGTATCAAGTGCTGTTTATTAGAAATAAACTAGAATTTTTTTTTTTTGGTCCTTTTGGGACACTAGAAATTTTTAAGCTCAAAAATAAAAAGAACTGAGAAAACTAGTGGAGTACAAGGCATGGACACATTCATTTCTCTCTTCTCCTGACTATGGATATGATGGGACTATTTAAACTTCCTGCCACTTTGGCTTCCTACCAATGATGAACTGTAACCTGGATTTGTTAGCTAAAATAAACCCTTCCCTAAGTCGCTTTTTGACAGAGTATTTTATCACAGTATCACAAGTGAAACTGGGACAGTGTGTGGAAGGTATTTGGGCAGCTCTAGCACTTACAAATAAAGTTAAGAATCTTTTTTTTGCTCTGTAAAATTTAAGATGACATCTTAAGCCCACGTCTTCTTAGTGGCATTGCCATCAGCTTTTTTTCAGCTATCTTATGTCTTGACTTTTATTCTGTTCATATGTAAAGGATAATACTTTCCTTTTGGTAATTTATTATAAATTGCAGAACTTTGTAAGTAGAGTATTAAAACTGCATAATGTGCCGGGTGCACGCCTTTAATCCCAGCACTGGGGAGGCAGAGGCAGGAGGATATCTTTGCTATCAAGGCCAGCCTGGTCTACATAGTGAGTTCCAAGCCAGCGGTGGCTACAGGGAGAACCTGTCTCAAAAAGACCAAACCAGTAACAACAACACAATACATCAACATCACACTTTTGAAACCTGTCATCGGTTTCGGTCAGGAAATTAAAATCCAAATCTACTGCAGAATTAAATGATAGTTTATTATGTGAAATATTGTGTCAGAGTCAGATAACCTTGAATTCTACTTCTAATTCTGCCTCTAACTGGCCTTGCAATCTTGGGTTATTTAACCTTGTCAAGTTTTTAAAAAATATATTTTATTTATTACTTATTTATTTAATTGATTAATTTATTTTATGTGTATGAATGGATTGCCTGCATGTAGGTGTGCACCCATGACGTGCAATGCCCAAGGAGGAGAGTAGAGGCTGTTGGATCCCCTGGAACTAGAGGGACAGTTCCAGGGGACAGTTGTTACAGACAGTTGTTAGCTGCCATGTGGGTGCTGGGATTCAAACCCGGGTCTTCTACAAGAACCACCAGTGTTGTTAACTGCTGAGCCCCCTTTGTCAAGTTTTAATTTGCCTTTTGTAAGAAAGCAGTAACATACACCACATGAATCTTTTTGAAAATCAAAGAAGGAATGCAGAGGAAGTGAAGTCAGCACAGTGCTTGGGCATAGTACATGCTCAATAAATGCTAATAGTATGTACCAAATACCAGGTAGAAGGCAAAGATGTATACTTCAGGGACCTTATTTAATAGAGTATTTCAATGTAGATTTAAACACACAAACACATAAAACAGCAGAGAAATAAAGTATTTTGAAAGTTCAGGAGGGAAACAATTTATGAAGATGGAATTTGAAATGGGTTATAAATGTAGAGTAAGAATTCACAGGTAACAAGTTGGGCATGGTGGTACACACCTTTAGTCCCAGCACTCAGGAGGCAGAGGTGGGCAGATCTCTATGAGGTCAAGGCTAGCCTGGTCTACATAGTGAGTTCCAGGCCAGCTGGGGCTACAGGGAGACCCTGTCTTAAAAAGACCAAAAGGGGGGGTGGGGGGAGATTCACAGGTGAGCAATAAGACAGGAATGTGTATAAGGAAAGAACACTGCATAAACAAATGTATAGAAATGAGGTTTGGGTGAGGCTCAGCTCTGCACTCAGTAGTAGAGTACTTGCTTAGCATTTCATGAGGATCTGGGATCAACTTCCAGCATCGAAAGCAATGTAAAACAAAGCAAAACCTTCCTGTGCTGGATAGCTTCAGTTGTCAACTGAGGGAACCTCCGTTGGGTAATTTCCTCCATTGGATTGGCCTATGAGGCATTTTCTTGATTGTTGAGTGATGTGGGAGGACTCAGCCCATTGTGGGTGGTGTCACCCTTGGGCACCCTTAGACTGGCACAGGCTAGAGGAGCAAGCCAGTAAGCAGTATCCTCCATGGTGTCTCCTTCAGCTCCTGCCTCCAGGTTCCTCTCCTGGCCTGAGTTCCTGCCCTGACTTACCTCAGTGATGGATTATGACAAGAGAGTTGTAAGCTGAAATAAATCCTTTCCTCCCCAAGTTGCTTTTGGTCATGGTGTCTATGACAGCAACAAAGACACAAACTAAGACACCTTCAAATATCTGCAAGGAAGGGCTTAGGATGAATTGAAGGGATGATTCAGATTGGGTATCAGTAATCTGGAGTGACATATGGCCTTATGTGGCAGGTGAAGAGTCTGGTCTGAAATTAGAGTGTATTGAAGATTGGAATTCTGGGGAAAGGTGTGCTGTATTTTGAGTAGTTTGATTTTGGACCCATTCTATATAGTCTTTTATTTATTTTTATTTTTATTTTTTTCTTCAAAGGTTGTCCTTGTAGGGTTTTTTTTTTTTTTTTTTTCTTTAACTCTTTTTGAGACAGGGTATCCTTGTACCTCCAGCTGGCCTGGCACTCACTATGTAGATCAGGTTGGCCTCAATCTCACAAGAGAACTGCCTGCCTCTGGCTTCTAACTGCTAGGACTAACCTTGTAGGATTTTAATTTTCTGGAAACGTAACTCCTAAGTAACTCACCTCTTTGAACCAGGTAAGCCTGCTGCTCTGAGTCACTTGTTCTTGCCCCATGCCGACTCTGCATTTCCATCAAGGACTGCCTACTGGGATTGAAAGCAACATTAGATGCAATGTTTTCAAACCCTAGAACAAGACACCATTAAGCAATCAACAATGTGAGGCAAAAAAGGGAGTCAAAACAATGACAAAGTTCATAAGAACCAGCATGGGAGCTGAGAGTGTAGCTGTTGGAACACTTGCCTGGTATGCAGAAAGCCCTTGGTTCAATCCCTAGTTCCACAAACTAAACAAAAATAAACTACCCAGAGCTTAAGACTAATTTAATTCTTAAATACTACTGGCACTTGGTTACTATATGATAAAGAAACTAAGTAAGAGGGCTGGAGAGATGGCTCAGCAGCTAAGAGCACTGGCTGCTCTTGCAGAGGACATGGGTTTGATTCCCAGCGCCCACATGGTGGCTCACAACTGTCTGTAACTCTACGTCCAGGGGATCCAACGCCCTCTTCTGACCTCTGAGGGCACTGCACTACATGGGTGCACCTACACACATGTAGGCAATACACTCATACACATAAAAAACTAAGATTACTAAGATTTTTATAAATCAGGAAATAACCAAACTGTTTATTGACAGGGAAAAGGGTTTGAAAAACATGGCATAGTTCTATATCAAAACATTATACAGAAATTAAATACAATGAATTACCTGATTTACTAAAGGAAAAAAAATACTTCATTTTCTAAAAAAATAATGAATTCTCTATCAATAGTTAAAATCATGTTATAGAAATCAAATTGTAGAACAATATCTACATTAATCATTTTGTAACTTAAACACAGAAAAAAATCATATAAGAATATATGTGCATATATATGGAAAGGTTCATTACAGATGGGATGGCTATCCACCAATCCAGGTTTTACAAAGTAAAGGAAGACAGGACTATAATAAAGGATGGGGAGAACAAATATTTCAGTTTTGTCTATAACTCCTGAAAATACTTGAGGGGCTGGAGACATGGCTCAGTGGTTAAGAGCACTGATTATTCTTCCAGAGGACCCTGGTTAAGTTCCTAGCACCCATATGGTGACTAACAATTGTCTTTAGTTCCAGTTCCAGGGGATCTGACACTCTTTTCTGACACTACACATGCACATGATGCACTTATATACTTGTAAGCAAAACACTCATGCACATAAAATAAAAACAAACAAAATCTTGAAAAAAAATACTTGGGGGCCAGGTATGGTGGTGTAGACCTTTAATACCTGTACTCAGGAGGCAGAAGCAGGTAGATTCCTGTGAGTTTCAGGACAGCCTGGTCTACATAATGAGTTTCAGGATAGCCAGGGCTACATAGTGAGCCCATATCTAAAAAAATCCAAAACTTGGGCCTGTGGAGATGGTTCATCCAGTAAAGGCACCTACTACCAAGCCTGATGACCTGAGTTTGATCCCCAGGATCCACATGGTAGAAGAAGAGAGCTGACTCCCTCAAGTTATTTTCTGACCTCCACACATGCATCATGGGAAGCACCTACATGCCCCGCCCCCACTGCATAAATAAATGCTCATAATAGACTTTTGTTTCTTTAAGACAGGGTCTCTCTATAGCCCCAGCTGGCCTGGAACTTGATATGTAGACCAGGCTGGCCTTGAGCTCACAGAGATCTGCCTGCCTCTGCCTCCAGAGTGCTGGCATTAAAGGTGTGTGCCATCATTCCCAGCTAAATGTAATAAAAAAAT